ACCACACGTGCGGCTGTCGTGGCTTGTATCTTATTGCAGTACACACAGATTGAGAGATAGAGGGCAAGAACTGAAGTCATATTAAGCAACAGCTGCTGATTTCGGGTCAGGAACGTCAACCGCTGAGCCTGCAACCAAATGGTCAGGGCAGGAGCGCGACTGACACCTAACTTAATCCACCCGCCCTTCCACACCCACCCGGCAGCACAATCAATCTGATCATCTAGATAGCTCATTGTTATGGACGCCTCATTGTTTCAGACAGTGTTTAACTCTAAACTCAGATGCTAAAGAGCCAGCCTGCTTCCTCTGGTCTGTACAGGTTTCCTCTGATCTTTTCCTCTGTTTCCCACATCCTGTTTGTTCCCATCCACACAGGAAATGGACCATTAATGCACAGGAAGACAGAGTCCCTGATGTTGCCTATAGGTAGACACAGTAAATCACTGCAGTTGGGTATTTGCATTTTCGTGACTAGACTTGTGCCGGTATTCGGTAATGCGATATATCACGGTAATGAATATGCACGATATTGTTATCGTGGGCACTTCTAAATACCGTGAATAATTATATATTACAAATTATTCAGAATTTTGAATGCATTTTAAGAATACTTTTCCCATAAACTGGTCAAAATGCACAACACCGCCGTATGCTGCATGAAAGATGCGTGCGCACTCTGATGTAAACAAGCGCGGACGAGAAGCACATGGCGGAACATGTGAGAGACGCACTGAATGAAAGCGCACTTTCACTCTCTGACAGCAGATGGCGCTAAACTGCAGAAATAATAATAATAATAATAATAATAATAATAATAATAATAATAATAATAATAATAATAATAATAATAATTCATTTAAATGCAGCCGTTACCCCGGAAACCCTGTAAACAAAGCAGCTGCACTACTTCCGGTTTCTGAATCGTGTTTAAATGATTTAAACAGCCATTCAGATTTGTGCATTTGCTATGATGTTCATCACAGCGCCAAATACTTAAATATTTAGACTTAATAGGCTATTTATTTTCAAACATTTTTTACATTTTAATCTGGACTACAACATGCCCTAGATATTGTTTGAAAGTGTTTTGATTATTGTTCGGTCACACTTTACATTAGGGCTTCATTAGTTA